TATCTACATATTTTAAAGCACACAGACACACTCGAGCATAAGAAAATTAACCAATTCTTTCTATATCCATGTACCTAAAAATTTCTCGTTATGTAGAGTAAGAAAAGAGCTGATCAGTCTTCTTGACTTAGTGCTAACTTGAGACTTTACCAAGAATGAGTCCCAGCTCTAATGAAGTTTGCCATATGACGACGCCCGAAACGAGTGAGGATGTCTAGTGGACTGCGTCGAACTGAATGCTATGCTAAATTCAACCTATGCAATACAACTAGAATCGGCTATAGCCTTCTGGCGAGATCGACCAACAAATCTCTTCATCATGTACTCATACGAAATGTAAGTATAAAAACAACAATGTTACCCCTAGAGATTAATCGAAGCCTGCTTTTTCTTCATATATAAAACGAATAGACTCACATGCTTTTCCTAAAGCCTTCTACACCATTTGGGATGGCCTCCCTTCTTTCTTGCGATCTCTGATGCAGAGACGTCCTGCTTCCTTTCGCGGCCTCCCCTTTATTGAATTGGCAGACGCAGTATTATGCAAACCTTTCCTGGGTAGCCTATTACTTTGGGAGAACTGGGCACCTGATGCTTCGAAGCTGAAGGCAAGCATTGCCATAGAGCCCGGCTGGCCGGTAGGTAGGACAGTCTGACAGCCAGATAATCCTCCTTTATTTATCCTTCCAGCACCGCTAGCGCCGGGAGAGTCGTTTGGCTCAACAACGGCTGTAGATCCATCTCCACTGGGACTTACAATATGCAATCGTTTAACTTTCGGATGCAGGTTATCATTGATCGTAATTGATCCGACTGAGTCGGTCAGGGAAAAATTCATAGTCTTTCCAGGCTCAAATGTCTTTTTCGTGTCCTGTTCTTTCCTCTTTACTTCTGCTTTTTCCTTAGAATTTTCTTCGCTTGCATTCACCTCGTGTATTCTGGTGTCACAGTCATCCAGAGATTGAGGGGAGGAAGATCTTAGGGGTGGATTTGGTTTGGGAATAATCTCTGAGGAGTGCCAGGCGTCAGATTGTCTGAGAACTGATTTTTCGGAGCCAAGTAGTTCAGAGGCTGGCTGACTCTTAGCAGGTAGCCGACCTAAACTGAAACTTGTACTGGCTGCAGCCGTTGCAATGCTGGTGGTGGATAAGGCAGGTGTAGCGACGCCGTCGACGTCCATTGAGAACGAATGAGCTGTAGATGCAATGGCACTAACTGTTTTGTAGCGGCTACGAGCTGAGGGTAAAAATTTACAACACAAATGATATAGAGTTGATTGAGCAACTCATTTCAAGGTGTAAAAATTAACTGATGTTATGTACAATTTTCACAAATTTTTATACATTTATTATGGGTAGATATTATAACGGCACTCTATGTATCAAGTTTCTCGAGTCTAATAACTTCAGGGAGCGTCATTTTTTATAGTAAAAATATTTATTTTAATTAAATTTGCGCGACATAGACTTCGCTAAAGATCCAGATATATTTTGATATATAACAAACTTGGTTACAAGTGTAGGCAATCCCCTGACCAATTATCTGATCAACCGTTGTGGTGTCATTCCTCGCCTCTATTTTTTCCCCTTCCTTCTAGTGCTGTATCTCTTCTTCTCAAGCCTAATCCTCATAGTACACTTACCTATTTAACCATTCTGGGCTCTAGTTTTCTTCATTGTCGCCTAAGAGTGTGTCGCTACGATTGGATTCAGTGGTGCTTAATTACTTTCACCACCAGTTCTAGACGACGTTTTCAGGGCTTTTGGGTCATGGGTTATCACCTTCATTTAGCTCCCCTCCACTCCGCTTGTCAGTTGTTTCTTGCTGCACATGAAGCTCACTGTCGAGCTGTCTGAAATATGTCTGTTTATGAGCCTTCGATTCCGGTACTAGTCTAAGTCATATTCGAGGAGTTAAAACCGGTGATTCTCAGGCCTAGCCATCTTCCCTTCCCTAGGCTTCAGACCAATGACCCAGTTATCCTCTTTCTAACCCTCACATTGTCTTCCATTCTCTGGGGCCATGTATCTGGCTAAATTAGTAACACGGTGCGAAAATGGACCGCTTTCCTTTTTCCACTCCTGAATCCAGTAACGTACACTCCTCTTGTCTCTCATGTTGACAGTCCCACCTAATCCTAAAGTTGTCCATGAAGGAGTTGGTTGGTATCCTCCCTAGTCAGACACATCATCAGTCATCTCTCTTTAAGGCACACAAACGGAAAAATCTATACAAGCACGAACACAAACTGGGGACCAACTGATATTGTACTCCCTAGTTCAATTGCAACATCCTGATTAGTTCGATAGGAACTTATATCTTTAACCTGGCATCTCTAGTTGCATACATTTTGTAAGTTTCCTGCCTTTAATTTCTTATCCCACATTCCACAAGTGAGACCAGACTGGTAACCTTTTAAGCTGATCCTGATCTAACTCCCCTCACTGCAATCGTCTTTTCTTGACTTTCTTTTCTTCCTCATAATCCTCTTCCTGTTGTTAAGTAGACGTCCTTGGTCAAAGTCTGATTTTTTCTGTCCTCGCAGTATCCCCAACTCTACCCAGGCAGTACACGAAATTCCTGCTGACTCTTCTCTCTTTCAATCTTATATTCATTAGATTTCTTTGCCAGAGGATGTCCACCACTTTCCTGATCTTCCATTTTTTGGTGTTCTCCCTAAACAAGGCCATTCGTTCCGTGGTATTCAATTATGTGGCCAATAAAGGCAATGCTTTCAGCTACTTCCGATCTTTCCGTACCCATTGTTCATCAGCGGCTGATGTTCTTTGATCATTTTGCTGATAGTCTTTTCAGTCTCTTCGGTGTACTCTTGCTCACAGCCCTTGCGGCTTATGCTGTAAACTTCGGAACACTCCATTTTATTAACTACTTCATGCCATGTGGACGAGTTCGTACATCAAAGCTCACCAAAACTTCAATTCCCTTAAAACTGGCGCCTTTGATTCTTTGGCAAAATTTGTATGAATTCTTCATTGTATTCGATAATCTGTCATTCACCTTCTTTACGTCGAAGCAGATAAATCTCATCAGTTTACGTGTTGCTTCGTGTTTGTGGTTCACTATCAGTCTCAATAATTCCCCTTCTTTGTGCATCTTCGGAAAACCGTATGCTATTGAGGCTCTTGCATCCTTCCGTAGGAATGAATTCATTGCCCATTTACCGATAACCCCGTCATTCCTTTTCTTGAGCATTTCTTGCAGTGATCCTTCGATTTTAACTGTTGGATCCTTTATTAACAATCACTAACTCAATAAGACTATTTTCCATTTTCTCTCTATATTACTTCCCGTCCATCAGTATTGTGGGCTTGTAGAACTATTTTTATCGTTTATTTTCAGTTCTCTATGTATCCTGATTATATTGTTTCTATTCGTGTGTTCGTGATGCGCCAAGATTTTTGGGATGATTTCAACTTCCAGCCTTCTTTTTGATTCTTCCGGTAGCTTCTCAGATGCATTTATCATCTCCAATAAAATGTCCTTGAATGCCTTCCTTTCATTCCTAG